ATTAGCGACAGTTTCTTTATTTAAGTAATCATTTGGGCTGGTTAAACGCCCCCTCCTATTAAAAACTGAAATGTTGCTACTGTTTTGGGTCTAAAAGCTAAAATTTTAACTTAAAATACAAACTTACAGCTATTTTCTTTTGATGTATACATTTGAATAACAAATAATAAATTAAATATTATTTAATTTTAAGAAATAAATCAGGCTGTCATAATATAGTATGCGGTCTACMAGCGATTTACGAATATTCGAATATAGTATGCGGTCTACCGAATAAATAAATTAAAAATACTATAATATTATAGTATAATTATTGTAGCAGTAATGCCTAGTAAAAATTAATCATTAAAAATTTATTTATTTTGAACCCCCCTTTCTCTTACAACGTAAAACTCTCCTTTCCTTATCTCTCTCCTTACGTAGGTATAAATTCATAGCAGCTCTTCCACACTTAATACATTCGGCATTTTCATTATTTGCCACAAGATGTTTGCTAATTAAAAAAATTGTGGTAGATTCGTCACTACTAATTATTATTACTTTTTCCAACATATTGGGTGTATAAAATATGGTGTTAAAAGTTAAAACGTGGTGTCCCGCAATTAAAAATGGCATACTGAGCTATTGAGCCAATACTTTTACAAAATGTTGAAGTATTGTTATCTGTATATAATGCAATTAAGATAAAGTGTATCTAAATGATAGAAAAAGATTAAAATGTATCTATTAAAAATAAACTTAAGCCTAATAGGTACCTATGTAAAAACCTCAGGTAGACCGCATCCTACAGCGGCCGATAGAACGCATTTGCTGGTAGACCGCATACTATATGACAGCCAATAAATCAAATAATAACAACGCACTGTGGATCAGCAAATCTTTAACATTTTATTACTTTAATCTATGGTATAACTCTATAAAAAAAACCTAAAAATATTCGATTTTCATGAGTCAAATCCACGGATTAGCCTAAAGCAAGTAGGAGTTGAAAAATTAAACAAAGGATAAACCCTAAAACCTTKAGTGATATGTGTGCAAAATCTTGTGCCAATTGGGTCAAAAGCTCCTTATAAACATACATTAATTTGTTTATAAAGAAAATTATACAATAAGCAATAATTAATAACTATATACACTATACAGTGTGTTCCGTAAAGAAGTTGCCGGCCGAAGAAATATAAATAGTATACTTAAACTTAAAGTCACCTAAAGTTATGTAAAAAAACTCCTTTAAGAGGACGTCTAACCCGCATGTGTTGTCTCCGTCTTACACACGTACGACATAGGTAMGACATAGGTTCGCTAGTTTCAATAGGGAATTGTCAGTTTTGATATTAGAGTGAATCCACCTATTATCAAACTTTTAGGTAGCAACATTATCTGTGTTCTCTCGTTGGTTTTTTAGGATATTATAATTTTTAAGTGACTTATGAACATTTTAAAATATTCATAATTTACATACCCATAACTCACTTAAAAATTTAAATATCGTAAAAAACCAACGAGAGAACACAGATAATGTTGTTACCTAAAAGTTTGATAATAGGTGAATTCACTCTAATATCAAAACTGACAATACCCTATTGAAACTAGCAAACGAACATTTCCTATGCCGTACGTGTGTAAGACGGAGACAACACATGCGGGTGCGACGTCCTCTTAAGGGAGAGGATCTAACATTTTCATTTTATTTATAACGACGATAAATTCAGCTAAAAAAAATTCGAAAATTTTAGAAGATACAAAAACGTTGTAAGCTATTCTAGCTATCATTCTGTGGAACGATAAAATTAAAATAAAAACTGTAGTAAATACCACGTTATTATGAGTTAATTATACGCGATTTCTTTTCAAAAATGTTGACACCTTTTTTTTAAATTCATTAAAATAATTTGTTCATTTAATTATTTTAGATTTGATCGTATATGTTTATGATATGTTAATCGTCAGTAGATAGTTCAATAAAATAGCTTAAAAATTAAAAAAAWATATATAAAATATTTGGAAAGTTTTAAGACCACAACAAAAAATGTGYTGTAGGTATAGTTTTGATGAAAAAAAGTTGAAATGCCCCTAACTAGAATAATAAAAATGTTAGACGTCTCTTTGAGAGAGTTTTTTTTCATACGGTAACTTAAGTTATACTATATTTTGACACCGACTGGCCTATAACTTTCCAACGAGACTAAATCCTCTAAACAGCTACGAATAGAATTCAATATCTAGTAGGTTTAGTGATGAAGGTACTTAAGAGTTAAGATTCTTGGAAAATTACAAATTTACCTAAGTAACAATCTATCAGTAGAGAAAATTTACAGTTAGCACTTCAGCAAGTTTAAATATTTAATATAATAATCATTAAATTAGAAAATACGAAGTAGGAACTATAAGAATTTAGAATAGGCACTTAACACTTTAGTACCTAAAGTAGATGAGTAGGAAACTATATACCTATTAACACAGAACAATTATTAATCAATAAAACAATTAGAATATATAGTTTAACAATTATCTAAATTTTAAAGTAATATACTAATAGCATTGATTTTAAAATCATTGTTAATATTATAGTACTATGGTAAAATTATAACTTATTTGTTATAGATATTAATTATTGTCGAAATATAATATATTAATAATATTATAGTTAGATATCATATTATTATGTTACAAACTTAGGACAAGCACGGACTAGATTATCAGTGTTATCACCAACAATATACCTAGTTTATTATCATTTCGACTTTTTATGTTTACATTTTTACACAACTATATGGGTATTATATAGGTTATTTTTCTCCATAAAAAGTTGGTGTGCCTGCCCGGTTAAAGATAAGTTATCTATTTGACATAATACAATATTTTAATAATTTTATCATATCATTATAGTTGGAAATATAAATAAATTAGAATAAACAGGATTAAAATTTAAGAATTAAAAATTCAGATCATTGCTATTTGCTTCTCGGCTAATAATCGTCAGTGACCTAGTTTATTAGACTAAAAAATATTGTAAATTACACGAAAATCATGAACAATTCAATGACACTATAATATTGAAATATTGAATACACGGGCTGTCGGGTTACAAACACAAATGACATCATAGGCCACAGCAAATGAAGATAAAATATCTTCATTTTGCTAAGTGGACGAACGAAAACATCATATGGCTTTTATAAACGATTTTGATATTTGTTTCACTACGCAAACAGTATYCAAACTACCTATTAAGGTAAAATCAATATATTTGTCACCTATTTCAATATACGTTTATATACCTAAAATGTATTTACTTACTAGATAAATTCCATTAAATATTCGATTTATAAATTTTTGTTTTCCTCAGAGTTTTTTCAAGATGTGGTAGTCAATGGGAGTTGCAGACAATTAAAAATGGTAGACTCAAACACTAAGGATGAAGAAACCTTAGTTGAAGACTCTTCAATAATCACATCATTTACAAAGATCAGTACTGCTCTTTTCTATGCTGCTGCATCCATGTTGATCACCGTAGTAAATAAATCCGTTTTAACCAGTTACGGGTTTCCATCCTTCCAGTTTCTAGCCATTTGCCAAATGTTTATGACAATTTTTGTACTGTTTTCAGCCAAAAGTCTTGGAAAATTAAAATTTCCAGACTTAAATAGGCACACGTTTAAAGATACGTTTCCAATGCCTCTGATATATTTAGGTAACATGGAGTTTGGTTTGGGTGGCACCAAAGAATTAAGCTTGCCTATGTTCACCATGTTGAGACGTTTCTCTATACTWATAACCATGTTGGGTGAATACTATTTGCTCAACATTAAACCAAAGTTCTCTGTAAAGATATCGGTTGGTATGATGGTCTCTGGTGCTGTTATTGCAGCAAGTAATGACCTAGGATTTAATTTAAACGGATACATGTTTGTATTGTTTAATGATTTCCTGACAGCAGCAAATGGAGTATTTACAAAGAAGAAATTAAACTCCAAAAAAGAAATGGGCAAATATGGACTTATGTATTACTCATCATTGTTCATGATACCACCAGCATTAATACTGTTGTATTTTTCGGGTGATCTAGATAAAGTATACAGGTACAAAATTAAATATAGTTATTAAGTAAGAACAAACTTCTAAAATTTGTCTTGTTTGTTTACAGATTCAGTTATTGGTTGCATACACCGTTTTTAATCCAAATTTTCATCTCATCAATAATGGGCTTTATATTAAATTATAGCATAATGTTGTGTACTCAGTACAATTCAGCTTTGACAACAACAATCATTGGATGCCTTAAAAATATATTTGTCACTTATATGGGTATGTTTATTGGTGGTGACTATGTATACACATTGAATAATTTCATTGGTATCAATATTAGTGTTATTGGTAGTCTATTTTACACTTATGTCACATTCAGACCATCTACACCATCCCAAATAAAGTCGCCAAGTATTAATGTATAAAACTATGATTTTTATAATATTGTCTGAATTAAATCAAATTACATTTTTTAATTTTAATATTTTATAATACTAGTTACCCTTTAAATTAATGTATTTTATTTTTCATTGTATATTTTATTTATACGAGAACAACATATTTGTTACCATTTAATTATTGTTGGTAATAAATTGTAATATTTTATTATACTATGTTTTAATGAGAACAAATGTGATTAGACTATTTATACATACATATATATATATATATATATATATATATATTTGTTTACAGAAAATAAAAATGTAAAGATTTCTAATTTTTATCTAATGACTGATAAAATCATCTTAGGAAAACTATAAATAATCTGACCTAGAATTATACAGTTTATTCTCTGACATCAAAATAAAAACAAATTAAAATACCAATTCAATTATTTATATTATATATTATAAAAAATATTCCAGACAATTAACTTAACATTAAAATAAAATGAACACAACTAAAAGTTAGATCTGCATGAACTATAAAAAATAACAATGATCTCTATTAACTATTTTACAGTAGATAGCCGATAAACTGGACAAGTAAAATATCTCTTAATAACTCATAATCATAATTTAGATATAATCACCATTTTAGTGTAACATAGGAAACTTTAACATCAAGGATATTAGATCTGATTTACTTCATACAAATATTATTATTGGCTAATGCTTTTGCCACTGGTATTTATTAAGTTTAGTTGATTATCCAAATATTAATAAATACAGACCAGGGATGATATTACTTAGTCTGGAAAATTGGCTATCTACTGTAATCTGAATTAATGCGGTCCAATAATCARAGCCTAACAAGAACACCAGAATAATGAAAACAAATTATGTTATAAGAGGAAAGAACAAGTTTTAAAATCATCTTAAAAATATAAAGGTAATTGATCCATGTCATTCAAAAGCTTTTTAAACCAAACATTCACAGAACTTAACGAATCTTACAATTATTTATCTACCAAATAAATCAAATAATATGATTATATATATATTACGTATGTCTAATATTAAACACTAAAACTGAGAATAGTTATGAACAYTGATGTATTAAGAAAAATCAATATTATTAACACTAGTCTTTAGAAGTTCTATAATCTAAATATGGATTCAAACTAAGAGTATACAAACTATATTAGTTTACTGCTTAAATAGAGAGCATAAACTAGTAAAGTAGTATGCATTCTTGAGAATAAAGAAATATCGTAGAATTATATGAAGATAAAAAACACTTCTAACATAAAAACATATTTGAACCAATATAAAATCAACTATTCAGGAAAGTATGAATTTACATTGGTAATCAAAATACTATAATTAAATTAATAATAATAATTATAGAATAAAGTACATATCTTTTCATCTAATTATTGTAAAAAATAATTTAAACTAACATTAATAAACAGTCTAAATGTATAAAATCTGAAGGAAAAACGTCTTGATTTTTATTTATATGATAGTAAGAAAAAGAGTTAGACTGAAAATTATAATTTATTTAAACATAAAACCTACACGAAACCAAAAATAAGTACCCTAATGACATGGTTATAATAAGTCTTAATGCCATTAGTTTGTACATACATATCAAACAGATTTAAACATTAGGAAATGTTAAAATTAACCATATAAAAATGTATACTATAAAAAGTATAATTGAGTATGATAGTGCATACAGTCTTTTATTGAGAAGTTGCTGGAGGTTGAAGTTCTGGATTTTCAKTACGCATAGCATCCAGTTTAGCAAATATTTTTAATGCGGGTCCGAGTTTCATAGACATGTCCCTTATTAAATGATCTTCTTTGAGCAACATCAAAGCTTGACCATCAATTTCATGACTTTCAAAATCTGCTGCTATTTCTTCACTGTCTGTAAGCTGACCAATAAATTTCCGCACATCTTTTACCTAAAACATTATCATACAAGTATAATGAATATAAAGGGAAAATAAAAATAAAAATGACTTACAGTCCATGTCAGTGGATTAATAGGACACAACTCAGGAGCCACCACATCTGCCTTAATGTCAACATCAATTTGCATTTGATTTGGCAAATCAAGTGATGAGCCGGTATTGCTAGAATCACCTGCTGAACCATTGCTTTCACATTMCTAGTTTGTATTATTATTACATTTATTAACAGTTTTAAACAATATATAATAAAATAATATTGCATACCCAATTTTTCCCATTCTTTTTATCCGTTTGTCCAGTTTTTGAACTATTTTCAAATATTTTTGAGCATTCTTGAGAACAAAAGCGTTTTGATTTCTTTTTAATTTTTAATTTTTGTAATTCTTGTGATTTTCCACAGGAGTCACATTTGATTTTGTCTTGATTGTTACTTTCTACTTTACTCTTTTTATCTGCGAAAAAAAAAAATATATAAACTAGAAAAAAACAACTAAATTCTTAAAAGAGTAAGGTGGAGGAATATATGTTGTACGGGATAGTCTTAAAGGCCAGAAAACATTAAAAAAAAATTCTTACTCGGTGGTTCTTCATCCAATTTTATGCTTTCCTTGTCCTGGGCACTATTGGAAATATCTGCTAGAGTGCAGGAGCGATTTACTGGGAATGGTTGATCAGCTTCTTGTATGACAAAGCCTTCAATAACATGGGTTAAGACTTGTGGTTTTACTAAAGCTTTTGGCAATCCTTTATCTCTAGAATTGTCTTCGTTAGAATTAACTGGCAATGAAACTGATGCAGTTGTTTCRGTAGTATTCTCTGCTATTGAGACCACTACAGCTGAAGTGTCAAGAGCTTGAACAGTAGGGGATGACTTCGGAGATTCTTCGGGTTTAATTGGTGGAAGCATTGATGAAACTGATGTCTGTATTTGGGGTGAAATTAGAAGCTGAGATTGTGTTGAAGCCTGAGGAGCACACGAAACAACTGGTATAACAGGGCGATCAAGGATAGTGATCTGTTGTTGAGGCTGGCTACTAACAATAGCTTGGCCTTGTTGCAGCTGATGTATATGTATCTTTTGTGGAGAATTCATGGACATACTCATTACATTTGTGGTGGGTTTGATGATTTGCTGTTGTTGATATGTAACTTGAGGGGATTGCATACTTACAATTTGATGGTTTGGCGATTGCATACTAACTAATTTAATTTGTTGTTGAGCTTGTTGTTGCTGTTGCAAATGTTGTACTTGTACAGTTTGCTGCTGCTGTTGTTGTTGTTGTTGAATTTGTGGTACAAGTTGTCCGGAACTTGTCAAAATCATTCTAAAACATAAAATTATTTAAAATTTGTTCATTCATATGGTTATTTTAAATTACTTGTTAGTGTTCATAGTTTGTTGAGGTGACTGAAGAGGTTTGGTTTGATTAGTTTGATTAGCAGCATCTGATTTATGAGGTGCAATACTAAAACCTTGACGGACACCAGTCTTAGGTCTAACTTTGAGTTGAGCTTTTTGCATCTGGTTTAAATGCTGTATACCCGTAGTAGTTTGAGTAGAAATTGTAGCATTTGGACGGATTGTATGTCCTGACGGTAGTATAGAAAGTTGTCTGTTATTACCCATACCATTAGGTGTTGTATTAACTTTTGGCTGTATATCGGCTCTTTGTGATTTAATGGTAGTAGTTGTGGTACCACTAACCATTTGCCCAATATTTTGCATTACACCACCACTTGTCTGCACCATAGTTTGACCATGGTGTTGTTGAAGATGCTGAGGTGGAGGACTTTGTATAAACATAGGAGTTTGTACTTGCTGTTGTTGACCATCTTGCTGTGGTGCACCTGGGAAATAAAATAAATGGTTATTGTTGAACTCTTAATTTTTGAAAGACATTTTCTTTTAGACTTTACGATGTAACATAAAGAAATGAACAGATAAACATCAATTTATAATTTATCAAAACTGAGTTAACAAGTTATGATACTGTAAATATAGGTTTTTGTATGGAACATTACAACAGTTCACTAAATAAAMTACAAATTAAATGATTTCATAAGAAATTAAAAAATACTTTATTTTGTAGTTTTTAAGTGTTAATGTAACATTTCTTTCTTAAGGATTTTAAATTGCAGACATTTTAGTTTCACTGATTTTGAATATTTTATTTTAATTAGGCTTTCGATAATTAGTTTAACAATTTAAAACTAGTTCTTGGTAAATTTATATTATTTATTTATTATTTTACCTTGATAGCTATATCATGTATTAAAACTCACCTCTTATAAAAATTGGATGATTTTGCGTTAATAGTGCTTGAGGCTGTGGTGTAGCCCAAGTGAGTCCTTGAGGAAGTGATGTATTAAATTGCCATGGTGAAAATTGCATTGTTTGAGCKTTTTGTTGTACAGTTCTTCCAGTGGCACAACTAGTATACTAAAAAAACATTTTCCAAATAAAACAGAACATATTAAAGTCTATAGTACGTACTGTTTGTTGCATTTCATTTTGTTTCATATTTGGCTGACTACTTATCACCCCTAACTGGCCGATGACAAGAGTCTGGTTAGTAGTGGTTGGTATAGCAGCATATCCAGTCGGAAACGACGTTGCTTGTCCTTGTGATATTACCTGTTTATGAGCATGAGCTGTGGTAAGCATTTGTTGTGACTGGAATTGTTTGTTAGGAGCTGCAATCACTTGTATAGCACCAGAGGTAGGATGTTGCAACATTGTTCCAGGCATGATTAATTGGCCTTGAGCATTGTACTGTACAAACTGAGGGCCAGCTTGTTGAATTAACTGAACACGTCCATGACTCCAGTCATTGATCTGTTGAATTTGAGTCTGTTGTTGCTGCTGTTGATTAGGTGTTTGTGCCTGCATAGTATGTTGTTGTTGGACTTGTCCTGGTTGTTGAGCTTGTATATTAGTCATTTGCACTTGACCCTGTTGCTGTTGCTGTGGTTGGATAGAAGAAATTTGCATTTGACCAGATGTCTGAAAAATATATATTTTTTTCATAAAATTCTAAAATATGACATAAGTATAATTTAATACCTCAATTGTTGTCATTGGTGCAGATGAATGAGGAAGTTGCACAGTTCC